ATCCCTCTTCCGCACAGAAGCCCAAAGTGCTAGATCCCGCCTGCCTCTGCCTTCCATGTGTTTAGCTCCTGTTTAATCATCTGAGTCTGTCCTGACCTTTGAATTGGAAGCTAGTGACAGAGGACCGAGGGACACAGGACAGTTTACTGTGGCAGCAGGAGCGGCCGGTTTCCGGGGATAGCGGTGGGGCGGGGCCAGCGACGCTGCAGCGTTTTGTGTCCAGCTCTGCAGCAGCAGGGCACACTGTGCTGGCCTTGGGGCGGATGCTGCCCGTGCCCATCTGCCCACCGCAGGTTCTCCAGCTGCCAGCCTGCTGCCGTGAGCTGCCCTCCACCCTTCAGCAAAGCTCTGCCAGACTGACTGATCCCTAGGTTCGATTGCTTGCAACCAAGACTCCCATTCATACGATCGGCGATGCTCTGTTTTCGTCTCTTTCCTTTGTCCCTTCCTCCTTTGCTCAATTTCTTCTTTCCTTACGTTCACTTTCCAGGCTCCAGAAGAGGAATGTATGCATCTGACTCGCATGTGCATGTAAACATGGTGCAGTAATAATACTTGTTCATCCTGGATAGTGGGAGTTTGAGAGCTTTCATGATGTTTTTGTACAGTGGTACCTTGGTACTTATGCGAAGAGTATCAAAGATGAGGAGTCCCAAACAAATTGTTTTGGGTGGGGTGTTGAGTCACGAGGCAATCAACACCAACAAGTTCTAGCCTTTGCACTGCTCACCAAAGTTCCAGGACAAGATCTTCACGTGATGGTGCATCAAATATCAAATTCAATGGGTTTCAAATTCATTGAGTTTCAAGGAAGCTGAGGACCAAGTTATGACTGTATTCTGTATCTTTCCATTTTCTCAGGGAAGACACTAGCTATCTTGTGCACACGTGTGGGTGTCAGGCACGTACCTATGCGTGCAAGCACGTGCTGTGCACAGCTCCAATGAAGCACTTTACAGTGTTTGTACCAACGCACTCCTCACAACAAGTCTGTGAAGAAGGAACACTCCTTCCCATCCTCCTTTTCACCTGGGAGGGACCTGAGGCACAGAAGCGTTAGAGAGCTGTCCAAGAGCACGCAGCCACGAAGGAGCAGAGCTGGATATCGCCCTGGCCACCCATGTCCAGGGCCTTATCTTTGAACAGAGTCAAGGAGCTGAGATAGCAAGTAGCTTGGTGGAAGGCAGAAGCCAAGGGGGACCGTGGGATGGAAAGGAAGCTTATTCAGGGGCTGAGGGGAAGGAAAAGCAGGAAGAGAGGAAGAGGTGACCATATGAGGACGCTTGAGCTAATTAATGGGCAAAGGCGGTCAAGACCACAGGCTCCAGGCTCCAGGAGGCCAAGTGTGATGTTAGACAGAAAGGGCCAGGACAGCCCCTTATGGCCTTGGAGGACACTGCTCTCCCTTCTCTACGTGACAGAAGGAAAGGTCACCTTCACCAAAGCTGGGGTTGGGGGAGGCCGTCAGGCGAGCAGCCAAGCCAGGTGGCAGCACGTGTGACCTGTGGCCCTGCAGGTGGCTGGGTGCAGGAGAGGGGTTCCCCAGGGGAGAAGCGCAGAGGGAGGTGTTGCTAGTGGACCGTGGCTCTGTCCCTGCTCTTACTTTACTGAAAACTCTATTTCTCCATGCCACAGTGCCAAGCCCTGGATGGGCTCACTGGGGGTGATCTCAGGACCCAGGTAGCGATGACTTCAGAGCCTGCAGTTCTGGTCCTTCAGAGCAGACAGCCAAGGCATCGCAGGATCAGACAGGAGAGGCAGCGCTGTGACTGTCCCTGCTGGACACAGGCTGAATAGCTGGAGGCTCCTCCTCCCTCCCTCCAGAGTGGGGTGTGTGTGTGGAGAGAGAGAGAGAGGGAGGGAGGGAGGAAAGCATCTGTGCTTGCTCTGCTGTGGTCCCTCCAGGAGCTGGGAGTGGGTTTCATCTGAAGGTGCTGCCCTGTGCTGGGCTCTCTGGACTGCTCTCCTCCTGGCACCTGCGTCACACCTCTGCCTCACACAGAGGGGCAGCGCCAAGAAGCCAGGTCTCTCTGCAGAACTTGTCCAGGAAGCCCACCTGCCTTGACTGTGAGGAGCCCTCATCCCAGCGGGGTGCTCCTGACCCCTCAGGCTGCAGTGTCCGCGTGACCAAGCTCTATTCTGCACCTGCCACTCTGTGTCAGAGGGGACTTTTGCTGGCCACCCTGCATCTCCCAGTCGGACCGGTTCTCTGAGTCCCTTGAGTGTCCTGTCTTCTGTGACCACAGATAGGTAAGCAAGATGCTCCTAGGCTTACTGTGGGGATAAACTGAGTGTGGGAGATTTCAGGTGTGAGTTCAGGGGACACTAGCAGTTGTGGGCACTTAAGAGGGGTCGTTTCAGAACGCCAAAAGCTACCTGCTCTGCAGAGAATTTTAGCTTCCTGCTTGACCCTGCTGGGCTGTTCCAAGCCCATGGAGAGTGAGATGCCTCTGAGCTGCCATGGTTGTTTCGGTCTCTAAAGTGGTGGATTTCTGGTGCTGACTCTGTGTCTGCACCTTAATTACTACCATTCCTTCCCATGCTTATTTTTCTATTCATTCAGTAAATACTCGAATGCCTAAATGAGGACTAGCAGACAGCAATAGAAGTTACTTATGTAGAAGGTTCCAAATTTTCCTTGCTGGGTTGCTGGTGGAGAGCATTCCCACATCAGCTGGTGTGAGATTCCACGCAGCCTTCATGGTTCTGTCCCACCTTGAGAGGTTAAGTGCTATTGTGATCAGCTTATTGGGCAGAGCATCTGTGAAAGCCAGAAGTGTACTCTTTTCCTGAAGTGCCTCTGGTGAGTGGTGTTTAGAAAAAGAAGAAACAGTATCATTTCCTTGAATCAGGTTTTTTTTAGGGTATGGTAGTGACATTTGTGGCTGCCTGTGCTTAGTGCGTTGGGTTTGCTTTCTGGATGGCAGCGGGGGGTTGGGTGGGATCTGGGCTGGCTTTTGGGAGAAGGTGGTGCTTGGGAAAAGAGGAAAAGGCAGCCTAATGGGTCAGGAATTGAAAGGCAGCTGTGTGGAAGATGGACAGATCAAACACTCCTGAGTCCCATGCAGCCACGATCCAGGTGGGTGACAGAGGGTAGGGTGGGGACAGCTCTGGATGCTGGTGAGCATCAGCCCCATGGGGACATGGGTTCTGAGCACTTTATACATGCATGGGCTCCTCTGTGCACCCTATTTACCCAAGTTTTACACACAGGAATATCACCCCACTATCATGCCCTCCCCACAGACTGCCCATCCAGTCACACAGGGCATCAGAGCCCAGAGCTCCGTCTCATTAAATACTTTTCTAAGGAGAGGTGGAAGGTTACTCTAATTACTGTCAATTACCTGGAACAATCTATCCTTTGGTTTCCGGTGACAAATTAATGAAATTACCATAGTGAGCTAATTGCAAGGGATAGAAATGCTGGGCGTCTTGCAGAAGTGTTCCTCCGGAGGCAGATGCATCTCATTTGCACATTCTTCCAGAGTCCAGGACATCTCTTGCTGGATGTTTAAATGATGCACTTTCGGTGAGCCTGGATTCCTGATCTCACTAATAGAGAGAGACATCTTATAGTTACTGCACTTAATTAAAAGGTGAAATAGATCTTGACGGTGCAACTCACAGTCATGATACCCCATGAAAGGAGCAGTTAGTGAACTGCAAACCTCTAGGATCTTGGCTCCAGGTGAGCTGCCTTTGGGGCGGGCACCCGTCCTCTCTCACCAATCGACCCTTGTGGACCTCGGGCCTAATAGTGGCTTGACATCGGCAGTCATGGGATGGGGACTTGTCAGACAAGGGCCAGTGCAGGCAGAGATGCTCTTCCATTTGCCTTTCCATTGGTGCCGCTGGGCAGCACCCATCTTGTTATAGTTGAGAAACTGAGGACTGGAGCTTGAATCCCAGCTTCAGTATTTTCAGACTCTGTGGACTTGGAGAAATTGGTCCGTTTTTCTGAGATCTGCCTTCTACATTTACATATAAGAGGTGATAATCACTCCTCTCCATGCCTTCCTGGGATGAGGTGATCCTGAATGAGGGCAGAGTTGTAGAAAAGCCTCAGAACCCCATGAGGACACAACCCAGAGGCCGCAGACAGACTTTTGAGAGTCAGCATCCATGCCGGCCCTGGGATCCTCTTACCCAGCACTTGCCAAGCCCTGTTTTCTAACTTCAAATGCAAAGAAAGCAGACAGCCTGTGTGATGATGGGTATAAGCACTTGGTTTTAGAGCTCCTCTTCAATTTTACCAGCCAACAATACTTCCAATGGTGGTGGTAGCAGAGGTGACATCCACAGATAAAGTAGGAAGGGCTCAGGACACTTAAGGTTCTCCAGGGTACAGAGGATGGAAGAGAGAAAAAGAACGAGAAAATGATTCTGGGATTGTGAGGTGTCTGAACAAGGACAAAGAGCAGAGGCGGAGCCACCCGCCCTGCAGTTTCTCCTGTGTGATGATGAAACAGCTTCTGGTGACAGCACCAGGATTTCTCCGCTCAGCTCAGCTCAGCTCAGGCCTCTCTCAAGTGCTCAACCACTGGCTGACTCAGGGAAGGACTTTCTGCTCTGGCGAGTTATCTAAAGTCAGGAAGGAAAGCCTCCCTGGTGGCCTCCCTGGACACCTTTGAAAGTAGGGAGACCAAATGGACACAGTCAAGCTTTGCAGCAGCAGGTGGATGAGTGGAAGCAACTCCAGCATTCTTCTTTCTTTTGGTTCTCTTCCATGTGTTCCACTCAGGGACAACAAGCTCAGTGCTCTGACCCTGTCACCCAGCATGTTGTTGGCCTCCATAAAGGAAGAGATGGTAGAAAGATCAACAAGTAAAGAACAAACAAGTGGTTGATGAGAGCAAAATGTTTTTCTTGGTCTTGCTCTCTAAATTCAGGGCAAGTCTTGGTCTCCCTTTATAAACTTTCTTGGGTTCCCCTTCCTCCCCAGCAACCTTTCACAGGAAGCGCTACCTACGTGGAATCTGCCCAGGGAGCTGAGGCTGAGCTTGGGGCTGCAGACTAGACCTTAGCCCCAACTTTGGTGCCAACTGAGGGGCTCAGCCCAGAGGTAACTCCAGGTGCACACAGCTGACTTTCCTTCTATCACACGGGTAAAATACACAGAACACAGCTTCCCACTGTAGCCACTGTGCAGCTTGGTGGCAGTTAGGACACGTGGTGGTGCAACTGCTGTGCTTAGAGGGGTGATGGCAAAACTTTTAGCGCTTTTTGTAATAACAAACGGCCTGCTGAGGGATGCGTGCCATAGGGTTGTTACCACTGCTGTATCTAGGGCGCCCCCAAAGTCTCCTGAGTTCAGACGTGGAGCTTTTGGAAGGTGATTAGATCATGGGGTGCTGTAGTCATTAGTGGGTTAATCCTGTGCCATTAGGAGGTGGGGCCTGGCTGGAAGAGGAGGCCACTGGAAGGGTGTCTCCTCCTCCCTCCCTCCTCCTTTCTGTTCCTCTGCTTCCTGGCCCCCATGATGTGAGCAGTTTTCCTCCGCCCACCCCC